GAGAAGAACAAGGACCCCCTGAACGAAACTGTCATTGGGTTGTACCAGAAGTCATCTGTGAAGACACTGGCCTTACTGTTTGCCAACTATGGTGGAGCAGAAGCAGGTCAGATTTCTAAAATTCTGAAGTTCTCACTTTCATAATACGTAAAGATTAACCTTACAAAAATGAATATAAAACACATTTGTTTTTAAAGAGGCTAGTGGTGGTGGTGGCAAGAAAGGTGGCAAGAAGAAGGGTTCTTCATTCCAGACTGTCTCAGCTCTTTTCCGGGTAAAGTATGAATCTCATAATCATTATAATGACATGAAAACAGTTATGGATCTGAGTTGTCTGAACTTCCATTCTTCTCACAACGTTCGTTTTATGATGAAAAACCAACAAGTATAAATTGCGCAGATGTTATTTCACTGCCTTTTCATCTTTATTTTCTGCTCTCATTTATGATATGTTTCGAGTACTCTTCTGGTGACTCCCTGAATTTGTTTCAAAATTTCACCTATATTGTCTATGAAAAAATTCGTTTTACCTGTGATGTAGTAAAAACAATGTTTATATATTGTCTTAAAATTTTTCATTTCCTCCAGATTATGATTCAGAGATTTAAACGTTCTGTTAATAAGATTACATAGAAGATTTCATTACATTTAAAGTTTGGATCTGAAAGCTACATTCTCCAAAGATTCATTATATTCTTTTCACCTATATACAGAGTATGTAGAAGTAAAAAAATTTAATCTAAGCTTCTACTCATGATCCCACAGGAGAACTTAAATAAGCTGATGACCAACCTACGGAGTACTCACCCTCATTTTGTCCGCTGCATCATCCCAAATGAAACAAAAACACCGGGTAAGATGCTCCAGCAGAGACACTAAAGTTGTCTCCCTCGGTGGTGGAAACAGTGGCATTCATTTGTAAAATTAATTGTTAGGTGCCATGGAGCATGAACTGGTGCTGCACCAGCTGCGCTGTAACGGCGTGCTGGAGGGGATCAGGATTTGCAGGAAAGGATTCCCCAGCAGAGTCCTCTATGCAGACTTCAAACAGAGGTAAGAGCACTCTGCCTGTTAGCATGACTGTAAGTAATGTCGAGATTTGGGAAGAATGGCCTTAGCTTTCTCTTTTGCTTGTCCCAGGTACAAGGTGCTTAATGCCAGTGCCATCCCCGAGGGACAGTTCATTGATAGCAAGAAAGCTTCTGAGAAGCTTCTTGGGTCAATCGATGTGGACCACACCCAGTACAAATTTGGTCACACCAAGGTACCAACTCTCCTCAACTCAGTCCCTGTATCTGTGTTATGTTCTCCCTGACAGTGATGCACTGCAACGTTCTGTTTCTCCAGGTGTTCTTCAAAGCTGGGCTGCTGGGACTCCT